GTGTACATATATATATATATATATATATATATATATATATATATATATATGTATATGTAAATGCATGTACAGAAATACTTTTACATATACATATATATATGGATTGCCTCTTGTTCAAAACAAAGAACTTCGCGCGCTGAAAGCTAAGGCAAGGAAAAAGGAAACGCGCGCGCGCAGCTTCCGCCCCCGCTCCCCGCCCCACGCACGCCGCGCAGCGCCGCGACAGGAAAATCGATGCCCCCCCTCCCCCCCTCGGGACCAGTGGGACCTGTGGGACTGGGTATGCGACACCTGCGGGTCGTCAGGCCCCACAGGGCTCAAGTCCCACCGCGTGGTCCTGAATCCTGGGTCCTGCCGAGCGGGCCCGACCGTGGGCTGGCGACTGCAGAAGCCCTTGGGCAGCTTCCAGAATGCGCTGGACGGTGGACACGGAGGTCTAGTTGACGCACTCGCGCTCCGCTGCTGGGGGAGGCGCCGCCCCATCACGGGGCCAGCCCTCCCACCGCCCATCCTCTCCTGCCCTCGCGGAGATGTGAAAGTGGCATGACGTGCGCGGTGACGCACGTGTATGTGCAGTGCATAATGTACGCGCATGCGTGCATGATGTATGTTGCATGTCAGATACACGATGTGTGATGAACAGGATGAACATGGAACCCACATGGCACTACTATGCAACACGACGTGAAAGGCCAAAGTGATGGATGATGAACACGGCCCACAACTTCAACACTCTCTACACGCCCTCGCCAACCTGCCGAAAGGCACCGACTTATTGATCTTGATAACTGCAAACGAGTTGAGTTGGACAGTTTGGTAAATCCTAGACCCTGGACTTGACACTCGCCCCAGCATTGCTGACGCGGGCTCACATGTGAACCCAAAAGGGGCGCCAAACCATTTGAACCCAAAATGGGCGGCAAGAGATTGATTCAACCACCGAAGGGCGCCAAACCAAGATTTGGGCATCATCCACGCAAATCTGGGCTCGCGCTTCGGGCCTCTGAAGCATCACCAGGGCGCTTCGGACAGCACTGGAGCCCCGGGGCTGCGCGGGCATGCGAGTCCCAGGGATGAGCTTCCTGAACCGCCATCAAGCGTTTGAGAACGGTCGCGAATTGTTTTTTCCGGCGCGCAATTGCTGTCGGAGTCGGAGTCGGAATCGTCGGAGACGGAGTCGTCGTCGTCATCGTCGTCGTCGCCGTCAGCAGAGGAGCCGAAGGTGGAACTTGAAGTTCTGCGTTCGGCTCCTCGGCAGAACTTGAAGTTCCACCTTCAGCTCCTCGGCAGAACTTCAAGATCTGCCGAGGAGCCGAATGCGGAACTTCAAGTTTTGCATTCGGAATCGGAAATGGAGTCGTCGGAGTCGTCGGAGTCGTCGGAGTCGGAGTCGGAGTCATCGGAATCGTCGGAGCTTTCGTCGTCGAAATCGGAGGTGGAGGCGGAGTCGTCGGAATCGGAGCCGTGGAGTCGGAGTCGACGGAGACGGAGTCGTCGTCGTCAGCACAGGAGCCGAAGAAAGAACTTGAAGTTCCACCTTCGGCTCCTCGGCAGAACTTGAACTTCCACCTTCAGCTCCTCGGCAGAACTTCAAATCATGCCGAGGAGCCGAATGCGCGGAACTTCAAGTTCCACATTCGGAGTCGGAGTTGGAGTCGGAGTTGGAGTCGGAGTCGTCGGAGTCGTCCGAGTCGTCGGAGTCGGAGTCGGAGTCGTCGGAGTCGTCGGAGTCTTCGTCGTCGGAGTCGGAGGTGGAGGCGGGGTCGTCGGAGTCGGAGTCGTCGGAGTCGTTGGAGTCGGAGTCGTCGGAGACGGACTCGTCCTCCTCGTCAGCAGAGGAGACGCAGGCAGATCTTGAAAATGTACCTTCGGCTCCTGGGCAGAACTTCAAGTTCTGCATTCGGAGTCGGCGTCGGAGTCGGAATCGTCGGACTCGTCGGAGTCTGAGTCGGGGTCGTCGGAGTCGTCAGCAGAGGAGCCGAAGGCAGAACTTGAAGTTCTGCCTTCGGCTCCTCGGCAGAACTTCAAATTCTGCGATGGGATTCGGAATCGGAGTCGGAATCGCCAGAGTCGTCGAAGTCGTCGGAGTCGGAATCGGAGTCGTCGGAGTCGTCAGCAGCAGCAGCCGAATGCGGAACGCAGAACTTCAAGTTTTGCATTCGGAGTCGGAGTCGGAGTCGGAGTCGTCGGAGTGGTCGGAGTCGGAGTCGTCAGAGTCGTCAGCAGAGTAGCCGAATGTAGAACTTCAAGTTCTTCATTCGGAGTCGGAGTCGGAGTCAGAGTCGTCGGAGTCGTCGGAGTCGTCGGAGTCGGAGTCGTCGGAGTCGTCGGAGTTTTCGTCGTCGGAATCGGAGGTGGAGGCGGAACCGTCAAAGTCGGAGTCGTCGGAGTCGTCGGAGTCGGAATCGTCGGATACGGAGTCGTCGTCGTCAGCAGCAAAGGAGCCGAATGTACAACTTCACGTTCTACATTCGGAGTCGGAGTCGGAGTCGGAGTCAGAGTCGTCGGAGTCGTCGGAGTCGAAGTCGGAGTCGGAGTCGGAGTCGTCGGAATCATCGGAGTTTTCATCGTCAGAGTCGAAGGTGGAGGCGGATTCGTTAGAGTCGGAGTCGTCGGATTCGTCGGACTCGGAGTCGGAGTCGTCGGAGACGGAGTCGTCGTCGTCGTCGAAGGCGTCGTCGTCGTCGAAGTCGGAGTTGTCGTCGGAGTCGTCGTCAGAGTCGTCGTCGGAGTCGTCGTCGTCGTCGTCGGAGTGGGAGTCGTCGGAGTCGTCATCGTGGTCATCGTTGTCGGAGTCGTCGGAGACGGAGTCGGAGGCGGAGTCGTCGGAGTCAGAGTCGGAGTCGGAGTCAGAGTCGGAGTCGTCGTCGTCGGCGGCGGCGGCGTCGTTGTCGTCGGCGGAGGGAGATGAGGCGGAGGAGACAATCGGAGTCTTCGTCGTCTTCGTCGTCGTCGTGCGTCGTCTGTGTCGTCGTCGTCGGAGTCGTTGTCGTCGCCTTTGTCGTGGGAATCGGAGTCGTCGGAGTCGTCGGAGTCGTCGTGGTGGTCGTCGCCGTCGCCGTCGTCGTCGTCGTCGTCGTTGTCGGAATCGTCGGAGTTTGAATCGTTGGAATTGTCGGAGTCGTCGGAATCGTCGGAGTCAAAGTCGTCAAAGCTGGAGCTGGAGCCGGAGCCGGAGTCGTCGTCGTCGTCGTCGTCGTCGTCGTCGTCGTCGTCGTCGTCGTCGTCGTCGTCGTCGTCGTCGTCGTCGTCGATGTCGCCGTCGTCGTCGTCGATGTCGTCGTCGTCGTCGTCGGTTTGGGTCCCCGGAGGCCCGCGCACCCAGGAGGCTCCCAAGAGGCCCCGAAAAGGCCAAAGAGGCCCCAAGAGGCCCCCAAGAGATCCAAAAGAGACTCCAAGAGGCCCCCAAACGGCCTCCAAGAGGCCTGCAAAGTGCTGCCAGGCGGCCCCCGAGAGAATTACCAGGAGACCCCCAAGGGGTCGGCGGCGCGGCGTAAGACCCTAGAATCAGTCGTCTCGAAACCATCCAACTCCCTCCTCCTCCTTTGACGACGACGACGACGACGGACGACGAAGACGGATGCAATACTTCGAGCGCCCTCGAAAGCTTTCTCCGGAAGGTACATGCGAGACCCGCCTGCAGAAGCTGTCAACTGGGAGACAGGTCCACGCAGAGCTCCTGCTGCTGCAGCAACCCTGTAACGCGAGGACAAACGAGGGAAATAAACTCAGTGACCCTTTGCCTCTGCCCCGCTTTGGCCGCCTTCCAGAACGAAGGTGGAACGTGCGCCGCTCGTCGGTCAACAACCCGGCCTGCCGCGGTACCGCCGCGCAAGCACCGTGCGCAAAGTCGATCGCGCTGGTGCCGCCCAGCGCTCGCGACCAACGTCCTCGCTGAGCCCTGTGAGCCCGCTGGCAGGTGCTGCAGACCTGCGGGCGGGAAGCTCGTGCGGGCCCCCTCCCACCGAGCCGTTGGTCGGCCCCGCACCCGCGCTGCGGACCGAGGTCGGCCAGGGCGGCGCCTTCCACAAGCCGCTTCCGAGGCCGAGCGCAGCTGGTGCTCGCGGCGCGCGCTCCGGATGCGCGCTTACCCCGCAAGGCTCCGTCGCGCTTCTCGCGAGGCTGGGGCTGAGGCAGCATCCTGGTGGCTCACATGCCCACCCTGGCTGCTGTATCGAACTCCAGTAGCCAATGAGGGAGTGGGGAAGCAGGGGAGATGGAAGAGATCTGATGTGTTGTCTGACGCGCCCATCTGATCGAGTTGCCGACAATGTCACAGACGGCAATACCCTTGCATCACTGCCCCATACAAGTCGAACTCTTCTCTGACAAGCAGCATGCATATCTGGCCGAAGCTTCTTCCGACCCCGAGAGGCATGGTATCCAACGCCGAGAAGAAGAAGAAGAAGAAGAAGACAAAACAAACAAAAACACACAAAAAACGCGGCGCCGCCGTGAAACATCACGGCTAGAACTCCCGACAATTCTGCGCCGCTCCCTGAGGCGGATCGATCCGCGAAGGCCTCCGAGCCCAAGGCGCGGCAAAGAAGACGCGACGTGGCTTGTCCGCCACGCTGGACCTCGAGCGAGCGCTGAGAGGTCGGCCCGCCACTGGCGAACCGACCTCTCCCACGCCCGCTTGGGAACAAGCGCGGTTGCTGCCTAGAATCGGGCGTCGCGGGCATGTCGCAGTGCTTCGCCGCTCCCACGTTACAGCCGAAACATGTCGACAAGAACGCGGAACAATAACACGAGCCCCTCCCTCGAAGGCCCATGGCCCCATGGAGATGCCACAAACGAAGAGCTTTGCAGGGCGGAGAGCTCAAGCACGAAGAACATGAGGGTCCCCTTCGAAAGCCAAGGTTGCCCTTAACCCTCGTGCCAGCAGCAGTTTGCACAGGGCTTGACGGCAGCGACGCATGACTCTCGGTGCTGAGCCCCACGCCCATCACGCTCCCGCTCTTGCTCAGCGCAGGGACCGATGTGAGAGGAGAGGGCGC